CCCTCTGTGCGGCACTGGTAAGGCCGCAGCTGGAGTACTGCATCCGGTTCTGGGCGCCGCCCTTCAAGAGGGATGTGGACAACATGGAGAGGGTCCAGAGGAGGGCCACTTGCATGATCAGGGAGCAGCAGGGCAGGCCCTACAAGGATAGGCTACGGGACCTGAACCTGTTCAGCCTCCACAAGAGAAGGCTGAGAGGGGATCTAGTGGCCTGTTACAAACTAGTCAGAGGGGACCAGCAGGCATTGGGGGAGTCCCTTTTCCCCCAAGTCCTACCAGGAGTGACTAGAAATAACGGTCACAAGCTCGCAGAGGGTAAATTCAGATTAGACATCAGGAGGCACTACTTCACTGTCAGGGCAGCTAGGATCTGGAACCAACTTCCAAGCAAAGTGGTGCTGGCTCCTACCCTGGGGGTTTTTAAGAGGAGGCTGGATGAACACCTTGCTGGGGTCGTTTGACCCCAGTATTCTCTCCTGCCATGGCAGGGGGTCAGATTTGATGATCTGCTCAGGTCCCTTCCGACCCTACAAACTATAAAACTATGAAACGCTTGGATGCTTATCTTGCTGGGGTCCTTTGACCCTAGCTGACTTCCTGCCCCTGGGGCAGGAGGCTCAACTCGATGATCTTTGAGGTCCCTTCCAGCCCTAATGCTTATGAAATCTATGAACTGCAAGGTGTCACTCCAGCAAAAATCAAGTGTAGCAGGAAGACTTGACAGGTCTAGTACAAATAAAGGTCAGTTAACAAAGACACTGAGCTGGTCTGGAAGTAACCTCAAGTCTTCTACACTACAGGCCATTTAGCCTTGGAGTTTAATGAATTCAGGGCTTCTTTGAAGTGTATAATTCCTGATGTTAAAAAAAGTAGTTAGACTGCCTCAAAATACAAGCAACTTCAAAGAGGACCAGCGAACACAGTAATGATTCCAAGATCCCCAGAGCCAAACTGGGAATTTAAATTATTACCCCATAAAAGAGCAACTCCGTCTATTATCTTCCTATATTTTTCAATTGAATTTTCTTGCTTTCCAGCAGAAACTTGTGTGTGACATGTGGTGGTAATAGCCATGTGATAAATTCCATCTTTAAGCATTACCTGGCAACAGAAACTTTGTTTTTAAAATAAAAAGATGATGAACAAAGTCACACAGGCTTAGAAAGATGTTTCAGTTTCTTACTTGTGGTAAATAGCAGCTCCTGTCAATACCATGGAATAGTCATTAGTCCATTTGGATGTATATCCCCATCTCTCTTTAGTATTGTCCCAAAAGTGACTGCGAGCAGGGTACCCTACAATCCTCTCTGGAAAGCTTTGCCATACTGTAAAGGCAAAATCCACCTGCAGGTAAAGACATCGTTAAATGAATTATCAAACAGTTTCAATGCATGTCAACAAAACAAAATATTACCATGCCACTAATTCATAATTCAAAATCTTGGAACTGTTGCAAAACATTAATTCTGTGTATTCATCAGTAAATTAAACTGACTGCTTGACATTTTGCCCTGTAATTATGCACATTTTAATGTTTTCTGTTAAAGGAAGTCTTGAGCACTAAAGTGCTGCTTTAACATTTGGAAGGCATGCCCTTTACACATCAAACCTTTTCAGGTAATGCAAAGATTACTCAAGGTGGGTGTATTTATACTTGTGTGTGACATCAGTAGTGGTAATTGCCATGTCATAAGTTGCACTTCTAAGCATTACCTGCCAACACAAATCATTTATAAATCGAGAGTTAGACCCCAAACTCAAACATTGGCTCAAAAATCATAAGGTTTTCATATTAAAATAATTAAATATATTTGGATTGCCTTGATATTTTCCTGTGTGATATTTGAATCTTGGGCTGTAATTTTAAGCCTTTCTCTGCAACTATAAGGGTTGAACTTTACTTTAAAAAATAAAGGATGAGATTCCTATGTATTCACATGATTCCAGGAGGTGGGGCTTGAAGGGGAAAAAAAAAGTACTTTCTATTGCAAGACTTACGGTAAAACTGTTGGAGCTGGCAACATTATTATGTTCTCCTGCTATATTTTATTATTTCAAATTTCTGCACACTGAATAAGTTGTGGAGCTCAAGAAGCGGAAAAAGAGGTCAGTGATACTTTTGGGGGTCATTTTTTCCCTCATTTCATCCACCAATAATTTCTTCTACCCCAAAGTTCAGTCTGGGATGAGATGGGTAAGAACACATCTGGGAAGATCTCCAGGTGTGTTTATTTGATTGGGAGCCATTTCGGACAGGGAAGGGAAACTCTTCCTATCAGCAGCTGTTGCACTCTAAGGGGTATGTGTGGACAGACCGGGAACCACACAAACACCCAGGTTCAAGCTGGATTGGTTTTGCCACATTTGTATCATTTCCAGCCTGTCCTCCATGGCTGTTAGAACTTAAAAGCAACCGTGCGCACCTAATCAGCACCTCCCCTTTTGAAAAGGCTCCAAATATACATGTGTCCATACCATATGTTTTAACTGAAGTTTTCTGGTATCCATTAATTCTATTTCTTAAAAAAAGCAAAAGCCAACTGTATTCGTCCAGGTCCAAACCATGCAGAGTAACTTAGTTATACCCAGATTACACACACACAACCATAAACTCCTGCCCAGAGCTTGAAGCTCAGGCTAGATTCACCCAAAACTCAGATGACAAACTCTGGCTGACCCTTCCATCAGTGCTATTCTGGAAACACATTAGCTACAGCATCCTGAAAGAGTTACATTTCTTGCCTTGAGTATCAGATCTCTCTCATTTGCAATTTATTTGATGAAACAAAAGAAACACATGCCTACTGCAATATGAAGTTGGAGCCTTGTTCTTTTCTTTCTAGTTGTTTTAAACAGTCTGGAAACAACTTGAAAAAGACACGGCACATAAAACAGCTATTCTTGTAGCAGTTGTGATTTGATCCAAACCGCTAACACATGAAAATATAAAGGTTTTTGCCATAAAGGTCTTTCCCATGAAACTTGACATACGTTTTCTCCTGAGATTCAAACTTGTCTAAAGAAGATAAACAAGAAACTAACTACATCTAATGCCCTTGCTCACGTATCGTTTAAATATCTGTTTGGTAGCAGGGAGAGGCATTAAAGCAAACAGAGTTCCCTATGAGAAAACAAGGCCTACATTGCATCTCCTTAAAAAGCAACTGATCCTAGATACTATTAAGCAGCATTACCACTCAGCTAATGATCAGGAGAAAGCAACCGAGCTTTCAGTCTCTTAAATCCCTAAATCATTCCCAACCCATGCTGCTTTCTAATTACTTCCCATACATATGTCCCTCTCAGTGTGCGATGGACCACTTTGGGTCGTTAGCCTTAGGAATGAAAAAAAAATGAATTGTGCACCATTTCATGATGAATGAAAAACGTTTGCTATCACTAAAGCTGAGCCTGTAGTGGAAACAGTGGATACACCTCAAATCTGAAAACAAATTCCAACTTGACCTTTGAGTTTTTTATGCTTGGCATCCATGGACACTTGGGCTTCATGAGGGGGAATGCTCACAAGAAGTACTAATGATAATTTATGCACTAACGATAGCCAAAAGTGAATCTCAAACCAAGCTTTCCACTGCCACGTTGGAAATACACAGATTGTGCTCCAGTTTATGAGCCATCCAAACAGGGAACAGACGCAAACCACACCGCAGTCCTTCAATGAGAACCAGACAGCTGACCCTGGCATTTCACACACTGGTCTGTCAATGCCAATAGGACTCTGCCGCAGCCCATGAGTTGGTCACATACTTCTTTCAGTAGAGCAGGGCCCAAGCAACTTAGGGAGCTAATGTATGTGAGACGAGTTTTGAATATTTCCATTGTTCAATTCATAGCAGTGGAAAGGTAGTGAAGAAAAGTGGGAATCATTTCACATAAACAAGAAAATGTTTGAATCAGTAGAAAATGGGGCTGAACTGAATAAAACCAAAACCCAATAATTCTTTACAAATTATTTGCTCAAACATAACCCTCCACACCCCACCCCCAAAAAAGATCAATGACCAAGATGAAATGATAGAGTAAAATGAATCCTGGGGGGACTATCAAAGTGGGCCAGTGCTGTATCTTGTAGGAGACTTGCAGAGAAAAAAATCTCAGCCCTCCTGAATCACTGGAGATTTTCTCAAATTCTGTGGGACTGAAACTCCAATTCTGTCTTGAGGAACAATCTAATTGCAGCAACCTTCTACTAACTGTCAGAGTTAGTATCTATTCTCAGGAACTGCCATGGTGTGTGCGGCCTAGATACCAATCTAGACCCACTGCTGCTCACTTCATCAACAGAGGGGCAATGTGGACTACAGTGGCCTCCATGTGGGTCAACTGAAGGGCTAAGACTCAAGGCTCCTAGAGACAGAAAGTCCATACTAGAAGAGAACTACAGGGTTGAGTAGAGGTCTTGATAATATGATCTGTGATGCAAGGTTGGCAGAAATAAGATTATTTAGTTGAAAGAAGACTGAGAGGGGATTTGATAATGGTCTTCAAATACAAAATGGGCTGTTATAAAGAGGATGGTGCTCAATTGTTCTGTGTCCACAGGGTACGGGACAAGAATTAATAGGCTTAAATTGCAACACAGGAGATTAAGGTTAGCTATTAGGAAGAACTTTTTAACTATGAGGATGGTTAAGCACTGGAACAGATTACTGAGAGAAACTGCAGAATCACTGTTACTGGAAATGCCTAAGTTCAGGTTAGACAAATGTTTGTGTGGGATGGTTTGGCAGAGGGTTGCACTAAGTGTCCTCCTGAGGTCCTTTCTTGCCCTATTTTCTATGGTTCTATAGCTGCAATTTAAAAAAGAGATCAGGTGTGCCCTTAGGGTTTATGGTAAGTTGCCAGTATAGTACTCAGTTGGGCCAAATTTGGGTTTTCCTGACCTAACATAAGCACTAATGGTATCAGCTAAAGGGCTATGAGAATAGCATGGGAAGTCTTACAGGTCAGGAGAAAAAAAATGATCATGAATTTGAAAGGGAAGGGAGAGAAGAAATGGAAAGCAGAAAAGAACATCCAGGTTTTTCAATAGCCACCATTAATAATGTATTTCCAATATATTGCACTTCTATATAAACTGTCACTGGTCTCCCCAGTGATTTTCAGAAAAAGGCTCCAGAAATCAATACTCATCCCAGTTGTAAAAATTGGTTTTCTGCAGTGTCTTTCTTTTCTTGGCTTCACTTAGTGCAATCTTGCTCTCGGCAGAAATGCTTCAACCATCTGAAGTACCAGGTATCTGCCCCCCCCCCAGTATACTGAACATCAAGTGAATGTGCATGTGTGTGCACGGAGAAAGAATTAACATGCTTGTGCTGAAGCAATCTCATGTTTAGAAGAAACAGTAATGTCCCATCATAGAAACATCCCACCCAGGCTTAACTGGAAAGGGAAAAACTGTGATCAGTAAGAAGATACTGCACAAACAGGCTGTTCTTGGCTGTCTACACCTGCCTGAAGCTATGTTACTAAAATAATAAATACGGGAAGAGCCATATGCTAATGGTGAGCCAATTAACTATGGAGAAATGTTCCTGTGATGGCAGGTGATGGCAAGGCTCCTGAAACAACTGAATATATTAAAACCTGGGGTATGCAGTGAGACATTTTAGTGCACACACTATCTGGAAACAGGTACTAAGAAGAAAGGTGGATCTGGTTGTTCTCAGTTGATCCACTCTCAAGAAGGAGAGTCTTACCTCAGTGGTTGAAAGCACAGTGTCCTCATCGAGGCTTAGCACTGCATCGGTGACTATGTTGTCATAGGGTAGGAAGCGGCTGCTCATAACCTGTGGGTTTCAAGGGTGAGGGTAAACAACAAAAAAAGTCACTTGACAGACTCATTTCCAAGAGAAAGAAAAAAAAAGATCCTTGCTGATATATTCCATTTTATTCTTCATTCTTATTTCTTTCCATCTGAGGCACATTGTGCATCTTTATATGATAGGAAGGATTTCTCAGCTCAAGAGTGAAAGGCTGTCATTTTCCATCAGCCCAGAAATCAGCTTATATTTTGTATCTGAGGAATTAATTTCTGAACAGATCTGTGTCTCTGCCTTTCTGTGCAACTCAAACTATAACTGTATCCACTGAGATCTACACATATGTAGGGTTTCTTTAGGGAGGACACTTGTGTAGTAGCTAAAGCCATCCCACCCTCCCTCCCGGAGGGTAAAGATAAAGGAGAAGGAGGTGCTGAGAGAAGCTTTTCACCTCACCCTGAACAATGGTGGTGAGCCAGAGTGCATCTCAAGACACGGTCTACATAAACCACTTTGACCGTAGCACTGTACTAGAGTACAACCCCTTTCTTATGGATGTATTTATATCAGTATAAAGTACTTTACACTTCTGCGACTATTTCCACACTGGAAGGGAATAAACTGTACAGCTATAAGGTACTTTTATACTGACATAAATGTATCTACATGAGGGATCATGCTGGTATGTGCATATCAGTAAAAATGATATCTTACTGTTGTTTTTGTACTGGAACAAAATCTGTGTGTAGACCAGGCTTTAAGTACCAACATAAGGCATATCTCACTTCACTGGGGAATAGATGCAAGATGGAAAAAATTGCAACAAAATGGAGAAATCCACTTATGCACGTGTGTTTCCCCTTACCACCGGTGCCCACATAACTTCTGAGAACTGAAAAATGGAAATAAGTACTTTTCTTTCTCTCCCTCTCTCTCTTATCATCTCTCCCTTCCATTCCAGCCCAGCGGAAAAATGACTTGATTAGTCTGTAGGCTGTTTGTTCATATGTATAAATGAATGTAAACGTGAATATGACAGACAGCCAAGAGGTCTGTCTCGCTAAAGTATGCTGTCAATGCTTACGTGAAGAAATCATTCAACGAGAGCAATGACAGAGATGAGGTTTGCAGTTAGCTTTGAGAGCGCGAGGTCAAGTCCATGTATCTCTTTCAGGATCAAGTTCCACTGCCGAGGCCCTGATCCTGGGAAAGATCTGCTGCTTGCACTCGTGAGTCCCACTCTGTTGGTCAACAGCTCCACTGCTTGGGTGGAAGCTAACTGCATGGGGGGTCCTACTTGCAGAGGAAGAAGCAAACTCACTGGCAGCTAAGGTTATTCCCATGAGGAGCTTTCCACTTAAAGGAGAGGCCTTGAAATGGGCTCTGTTTACTTTCACAAGCTGTCAATAAGTGACAGTTACAAGGCTGATTTCTGTAGAGGTTTTCTAATGGGCACTAAGATAGGAAGGAAAATAAGTCAGTAAAGATGAGAGAAAAATCTCATGCGCTTAACTACTCAGACTTTTTTTATGATTAAATCCCAAATACGGAAGAGGCTCAAGTCTGAGTAGGATTATTCACTTATTTGCATCTGCATTTCAGTACTGTCGGTTGCAAAACGGGTGCGAATCTATTCTGTTCTATCACAGGGGTGTGAAGATGTTTAGATCAAGCCTTTGAAATCCTTGCCTGATGGATCCCTGCAAGATGCCAAGTAGGCATAGGAAAAGCAGGCCCCTTGTTAGAGACTCTGGACTGCGGGGAGTTGACTCTGCAAGGCTGGGATAAACAAACAGCTTTCCTGTTTAAGAAGCCATCTGGTGCATGATGTGATATTAGAGAGGAGGCACTGTCCACTATAAACACACCTCTGTGTACTCAGGAGACTGGTTTGTAATCTAAAGAACTCCAAGGTCTGTTTTTATATATGCTTAGAACTGGTCAGGACATTTTCTTCCTCTCTTCCTGCTGCCCAGGCTTTTCAAAAAGAAAGAAAATAAACCCATAACGTTCACAAGGCTCAGAAATTTCAACAGCCTATCTTAGCCCTGCAGCAATTCTCCTGATACTGTTTACATGTCCAGTGACTAAGGCAAGAGCTATTAGCTGCCAGCTTAGTGATGCCCTGACTTTTCCCTGGTTAAGCCTACTGGGGAAAACAGCAAAGACAAGGCCTATACATTCAAAATAGGATTTTAAAGCCAAAGCAGCTAAAAACTTCACAGTGGAAATACAGAACTAGAGAGGCAGATGATAAAAATCACAGAGAGGTCTAACCCAGATGCCTCTGCCCTGCCTTTTAATACGAGCATTAGAGACTGTGTGTGAAGAATGAGTCCAATTCTTCACTGACCCTGTGCAAGGGAAAAGCAGAAATAAAACTGCATCATTTCAGAGCAAATTCAGTCTCATGCACTTCACTGCCTCCTGATCACTCAAGTGTACCTGAATCCCAGGCTCATCCTGGCTCCCTCCTCCTGTGCCTTCCAGCCTCCTCACTGGATGGAGCACTCTACCCCCGGTTTACATATTAACTATATGTTTCTGCAGTGCCTTCAAGCACACTGAACTGCTCCCCCTGGTGACCTTCCAAATCAGAAGTGTAACTGTTTTCATGTGCTACTGTGAATGGCTTGCTAGCATAGGAATGGGCTAATTGGCACTGGCATTCAACCAGTCTAAAGTACTGCAGAGATGTGGCTACACTGCCTGCATTTATGAAGAGTTACTTCAACAGCAATGTGGCACACCTGAGCACATCAGTTCTGGGCAGGTACGTTTACTGTGTATATGTGAACCATGGGAACAGTAGTCTCCCAACCTGGTGGGGAATGCTCCCTGCAACTGTTGCACAAGACTAATATTCAACCTGAGGCCAGAAACAGCATCTCCAAATCTTCCCTGAGAATGCTCAGTCTAGCGCTGAGGTCTACTGCTGATTTAATGCAGCAGCATAAATTGTGTCCCTTTCACCAATCTCAAACCAGCTCTATTGATTAGCAGTTGACAGCTGCCAAGAGTCTGAACCTCATGCATCAAATGTCAGGTCTGCAATCGTGCCAGTGCAGGAGCTGGAGGTAAAGGAAGGGGCACTGCACAACTGCTGACCACAAAATACCGACCAGCAAATGGCAGACAAAGCATCCTCTCCAGTTGGAAAAATGAACACTAGTCCCCTTCACACAACACAGACAATACTTACTGGTACTTCTCTCCACATACCTTGCTCTCCCCTTCGATGACTATGACAGGCACAGCAGTGGCAGGCCACCGGTGTTTGGCTGGGAGGGGTTTGTCACAGTTCCATAAAACAATGATCTGAAAGAAATATTGACCTGCAGGATTAGATACGTGGCCATGTTCCTGCCTGTTGCTACTCAAACTTTCAGGACCTTGAGGACCAAACAGAACCACTGAATGTAAGGCAGAACAGAGATGCATCTTAGGGCATTTACACACTTGCTCCACTTGCACTTTAGTTACATCAACTCCAAGAGCCACTCTAATTATAGTGCCCGGAGTGTCTCGTGTATCAGTGTCCCTGCACTTAAAAATGGCCGCGGGGCGCTTTAACTAAAGCTCGCCAAACAAGCTTTAAAGTACCCCGAACGCCATTTTTAAATGTGGGAATGCTGATACCTGAGACGCTGGAGTCTGCTGGAGCATGGTGATTACCATACTCCAGCAGACTCAATTAATCGATTAATTACAGCTTGTATGAGCAGCCTCACTGCTTGTGTGTAGGTGCCCTTATAGACTAGTCTGAGACTAAGGTGCATCTCTACCCTGCTTTCTGCCTGACTTCAGACAAAAATACCCAACTACCTCTCACTGAATATAAGTTATGAATCTCAGAATAACCAAGCAACATAAAAATAAAATCCCTCGGAAATTTCACCCACACTGACAATAAAATATACACACTCAAATAAATGACACACTCAAATAAATGCAAACTCAACAAGAAGCCAGGGAGTCTACAGCCTCACTCAGAAGGATGCCACTGGTTTATTTTGGCACATGTTGTATACTAAAGCACCTCTTCAGATGAGAGGGTACTCCTACCACCTTCTTAAGATAACATCACAGGCAGTCTGAAGTCCCAAAACTGCCAAGAACAAGAACTACAATGGGAGGCAGGGCAGCCAATGGTGCTTGAGGCCTACTGAGCCTTTTGGTACTTACAGCACATGCAACCCCTGTATTTTTGAAAGACAACAATTATTTTGCTTCCCTTTATTAAATAAATCAGAGTTTTTGTGACCACCTGTTCTCCTCTTGTGTGAAAGTTCAGCTTTTATTCCCCACATATATTGGCTGAGGTCACTGCAAAGAGCTCAAAGAAAAAGTCCATCATATAAAGCAGGGTCAGGAAATAAGGAGCCATGAGAAGAACTGAAGTCAGGGGGGATTTTTATTTGGTGGATGTTTTAAAAGGAAGGTAACTGTCAACTAGTGCTGCTCACCTGTGCACAGTACTGGGACTTGGCTACAGCAACCAGGAGTTTCAGCACAGGCTGAGACTGGGAAACCAAGGGAGTTACTGCATGGATAACTGCAGTGAACTTGGAGGGAGGCTTCAGACCTAAAATGAAAAAGGATGCAAACTTAATGAAGACAAAACTACTACCTTGTGTAGCAGAGATCACAGAAGTTAGAGACGGAAAAGACCCAAGCACACAGAAACTGCCATGTTGGCTCAGACCATCTCATTTGGTACCCTTTCTCTATCAGTACCTGGGGCTTCAACAAGTTTCCTCTTCCCATTCATTTCTAAGCTCCTTGAACACACTTCTGTAAACTACAACCACTGCTTTGATATCCCCTCTCTGATGCCCTCCTGGAAACTTGCAATTGTTTTCCTTCTTTCCCATCACTCTGTGGAAATGATCCTCGCCAAGTGCATCAGTAAAATACTTCTGACCAAGTCTAGAAGATTCTTCCTAGGCTTTCATCTAACTTGATCTATTTTTATGCTGATGTCAGTAATCAGCCCTAAGTTTTTGACGCTGCCCTTCTACCTCACCAACAGCTCCATCAATCTCAGTGGTGCTTCCTTTTTTTCCCATTTCCCAGAACCCTCAGAATTATGCTCATGGTCATTTTCGTTTTTCTCTACATCTTATCCCAAAGCATCATCACACACACACAGGGCTTCAACTGTTATTTTGACTGATTAAGTATTCTACCTGCCCAGTATTGAACAGCTTCCAACCATTCCTACTTTTCAGTTTGATAGTCCTTCTGCAATATCACAGGCCCATCTGCTCTTCCCTTCACTATGGTTGCTAACATTACTACCTTCTAGTCTCATGCTTGCTCATATCCGTGGTACCCTAGTTATCTCCTTCACCCTACACATTGGAATTGTTGTTGAATCCGCTTAGCATTTCTTCCATGTTACAATGGATAACACTTCCTTAAGGCTGGGAGACAGGTTCTTCAGGCAGTTCCCCAGTACAGAACCATGTTCCTAGGGGCATATCTCTACAAAGAGGAACTGGCTGATAAGCTGTGATGTTGAGTCTTCAGACATATTCCCTTGCCCTGGTCTTTTCTGCCCAAGTGCAGGGGGGTTAGGCCTGGTGATCTTGTAAGGTCCTTTCCAGTGCCTAAGATTTATGAATCTATTAATTCAATATTTAGACTGCGATTATATAAAGAACCATGGACCAGCCCATTGTTGGCTCCTTCACTCAGTCAGAGTCTATAAAGAGACTCTGAGGAAGTGGAGAGAGAAGGTAGGGAGGGTGAATCTATATTAACAATATACTCAAAGACCAACCGTTACTGTAAGTCACTTTTTTTTAATCTTGAAGTATTGCCAAGTGGTACTAGACAAGGAGTGCAAAAAACACAATTCATTTAACCTTTGTCACGGCCACGACATAGAAAGTAGCTGAATTGTCACCTACAGTTACGCAGGAAGAGAGTGTGGATTTCTTACAACAGTCTCCATAGACAGCCGCCACTAGAGGGTGTCACGCTCACCAGTGCTCAAGCAAGGAGGGGTTGTGTTTTGGCAGGCAGAGACATGGGAACACAAAAGTATTACCAGCATATTACAGGTAAACTGTCTGCCCCAAACCATTCAGAAATCAGTGATAACCCAATTTCAGTGAGGTGCAACTGTAAGAATTTACTCACCTAGATTAGCATAGTAGTAAGGAAAATCTCCCAGATATGAGGAATACTGTGGCAATACAAATAACCCTCCAGGATGTTTGTTCCATATTAAGCTGTTACGTGATATGTGCTTAAATATTCTGTCCTGAATAATCTGGAAAATAAGAAAGGTAACAGTTTTTAACTAGGTAGCAGTGAGGATCGGTACAGACTTCAGTGGCTTCAAAAGACTGCAATCACCATGCATTTTGTAAGAAGTGGAAAGACAAAAATTACTTGGCATTACTGTTTAATCTCTCTTTTTAAGAAGATACTGAACCTGGATACTTCTGCACAATCTCAGCAGAAGAGGGCCATTTATAACAGTATTCAAACTACCTCATTAGGCTCTGTGGACACAGGGACCTTGCAATTCATTACATTCTGCATTTAAAGTCAAATATTTTTCCATTTAAAATCACTTGTCACTTGTAAGCCTGATTAGTTCATTGTAGAGTTTACTATACATGACTTGCATGAAATAATTAATTAGTCAAGGATGGAATTGCAAAGAGGGGCTTTTTTTTGAGATAATGAGAATGTTTAAAAACACAGAGACTGGCAGCAAATCAGATTGGGCTGAGGGATATTTTTTGGTTAATTAAAAATAATGTCAATATTCAACAAAATGACTAATTACATGAGATACATTCCATGTCACAGTTATGTAAGTTTCCACTTCATCCAACATGGATAGAAATTTGGGCAACTATTACTGGAAGCAGGAAACTCTCTCTATATTTGGAAAGTACAATGGATTTATATTCCAAGGTTTTAAAGTCAGAAAGGACCATTTCAGTCTCACTTCCTGCATCATACAAGACCTAGCTCTATCTTTATGCTTACTTGGAGATAGGCGGCCAGTGTATAAAGTACTTACACACAAAAAAAGGATCTGATAGCGGGGTGTTTTTTAACCTGCCTGTATAGTAAAGGCATAACAAGACCAAATGGCTGGAACCTGAAGTCTGACAGATTTAATTGTGCAGTAGGAAACAATTTACAAACAGAGAGAGTAATTAAACATTGGCCTAGCCTGGCAGGGCGTGCAGGTGGACTGGAAGCATAAATCAGATTGCCCACACCTTGAGAACAGGGCTGACTGGTCTGGTACTCTGAGGTAGTACAGGCAATTGTCTTAGATGCCTGGCTGGAACATCTTGCTCACATGCTTAGAGCCGTACCAATTTGGGATGGAGGAGGAATATTCCCCCATGCCAGACTGGCAGGATCCTACATGAATTTTTGCCTTCATCTGCAGACTGGGCATGCTTGCCTGCTGGGATTCTCTGGGTGCGTCTGACTTAATCAATTCCCTGCCATTGCAGGGAACTGTTAGCACCTTGCTTTCTTATGCTCTTTACCTACTCACAACTGTTTTAGTCTCCCCAGGACAGGAATTCTTTAGTCTAACTAAAGTCTTTGGGCTTGACGTAGGGGCATCAAGATCAATCTTAGCAGTTCATGTCAAACAGGCGGTCAGAATGGATGACTTAATGGCCTTTCTGGCCCTAAACCTACGAAGTGATGAAGGATACATATGCACACAAACCTGAAAAATACAACCCACATCTGTAGGGGTGTAGGAAGAGCAATTGCTTGATTTTTAAAGGGAGCAGAATCACAAGTCTTGGGGTAATATGTTGCTTTGGGTGATCCAGCCTGTGAACAAAAGCTGTCATAAGCTGCTATTTTTCTGGAATTTGTGATCGATCGTATTGGCAGGACACTCATAGGAGTAATCTTAACATTAAGTTAATAATACTATTTGTGTGAAATAGGGGTCTCAATACTGCATACAAGTAAGCTAGCTTCCATTGCTGAGAAAGCTGTGTCTGGACATTTCTATTGAAGGATTTTAAGGTGGCATACTTTTGTCATGGTGTCTTTTAGGTTGGGATGTAGGGTAGAAAATGACTGCCTTTCCCCTCTCTGTAATTTAGGTCATTAAATAGAGAGAAACTGGACCATACATATTTTCTAGCATTTAATAAAGAACTCCACCTCTTCTCAGAATTGATGCATGAACAGATAAGTCTGTTAGTTTACATGGTCAGTAGGTTTTCATAGACTGTTCCATTTTCCACTGCTTTGGTAGCCAACAGTGCTCCAGGGGAAACACATGGCTCGCATTCAATGCTTTTCAATGTGCAATGAAAGAGAGAGAGAGAGAGAGAATGAGAAAGAAAGAAACAGATCTAACTTGAAACAGGCTTCTGATGCCATGCAACATATGCAACCTTCATTGCATGTCAGGCATACAAATCTTACTGATACTATTACTCAACAGGCTGGAGAGCTGACCTGTGGAATATATTACATTTAACGCATGGAAAATTAATTTACAGCAGTTCTAGTGAGCACAAATGTTATTACTGCCTGCAGCAACTGGGTGGAGAAAGGACAACTTGAGGGAACAGGAAAGGATAAAGAGAGGACATCTAGGCATAATCAGTTCAAAATACAGAATATAGAGTGCTTTGCTACATACATTTAAGAGTTTTCTAAACAGGGGTAATAGTTAAAACTGATTATGAAATTTAGGCAGTTTTGTAACATGAGAAGGATAGGAACTTTGGCTAGATCTGACTTCTCTTTATGAAGCCTGTTGTTCACAAAGTATTTCTGTCCCTTCTCTCCCACATACTACTTCTGTTGTACATTTTGTTTTACCGTTCTTATCGCCATTATATCCTAGTGCCTTCCAGCAGTGCATAAAACATCTGACTCATGTGGTTTGTACTCTCTCTCTCCTCTTCTTCCCAAGGGGAGAATTGTGTATGCAGCACAGTGTTTTGTTTTTCAAATGTCCACCCTGATACATGTTTGTCTTGGTGAAGAACGTGTCAGAGAAGCATGTGGTGCTACTGGAACGGAAGGTGAGATCTGGGATGGGCCTTCATTCCCGGGACAGTCCATGCCCCAGTCTCTGCTCTGTTTCCTCCAGAAACAAGTTTCCCTACTTCATGCTGTGGCAGAGAAGCAGAGTCATGGAGTAAGGTTTTAGTCTGGGAATTTGGGGGGAGGATATGATGAACTCAGGCCACTGAAACCTTTAAAGATAATAAGGAAGAACCTGAACATGACTAGAGGTTCTATGGGAAGCTGGTAAGGGACAGGTGTGAAGTGTTTGCAGTAGCCTGTGCTGCTGAGAAGACATGCTGCAGTGATCTCTACTAGTTGGAAATTCCTAATGGCTGATGGCTTCATGCCCAGATATATCGCATTGCTGTAGTCCAGATGGAAGGTGACTAAATGATACCCAGGCTCATCAAAATATTGTGCTGCTACAGTGTTACAGTAGACTTACATAGTACTCACCAAAAGAAATCCCCTCCTCCTGTCCCCCCCCCGCCGGCATCCAGGGCTTAGTTTCCAAAACAGGTTTAAACCAGAGTTGCCTATATCAGCTTCTGACACCTAAAAATAAAACTGCATTCTCTCTTTTTGGAGAGCAAGCAACCCAGAGCCTTTCCTACCAGATGCTGGACTCCAGAATGAGCATCTCAGCATGCTTATGAATTTCTATTGAGCAGAATTTGTCTTCCCTTCAGAGAACTGCTTCTGAGAGCCCTGAATTAAAAAATTAAAGAGGTAAGACAGACCTGACTTAGTTAATTAAACTTTCCATATACTTTCATGTTCTAGTTGCCTATTCGTCACACTTCTGAAGCTCAGGGCTGGTGGCAGGTATTTTTCTTGATCTTTACTTAACTAGAGATATTACTCTCTTAGTCAACTGGCAGCTGTGGCCACATCCTGTAGGATGCCTTAATGCCATACTAAAGCTGTCCTTGCGAGTCTTAGGACTAGATTCTTCTCCTCTGAATAGTAAATAGGGAATGGAAGCTGAATGAAACTCCACAGCTGGGGACACCCCAAGCATAGGGGAGATTGCAATGATTATGGTGCCAGTGTAGTCTTCTCCTACAGCTCCTTCTCCTTCTCTACAGCCCTCAGTAAAAGGGGTATGTTGGGATAAAGCTGAAGAGAGTGAAGCACAAGTCACTCTGATTGTCCATAACTGGAAGACAGTCCTTTACTGACTGCCTCTCATCTGGCTCAAGTTAGAGCAGCCACAGGCAACCTAAACTGTGGGCCACGACCCAGACAACAGCATCGCCAATCTGCTGCCATCTGAACACAGCAGAGAATCTGGAACTGTTTGTTTGTGCCCAAACGTGGACGTGAATGCAAAAAGCACTGGCATATACAAATGTAACCTGCACTTGCAAACTGAACTGTCTGTACCAGCAACACTGTGTATAATGTACTTGACAAACAAAAGCTTGTGGGCAAAATTGTGGGAACACTTTTTTTAATTAAGTGTGGTCCTTCAAACTGTGGTGCTTGTTCTGTATCTGAAGAACCTTTCACTAGACTGTTTCTCACCCGCCATTTCCTTCCTCCACCTGGGAAGGATTCTCCCCGCTCCTGAGGGCTCCCACCATTAAGAGCTGTAGAGTCTAATATATGATTATTATCCTGGTAATCTCATATAGATAATCCAGGCTTTCTTTTTTCTGTCCTTGAAAATGTGCATATAGGATAAGTCACAGGTGACTTCAAAACTGCTACTTTACTTTAACCAGAACAAGAGATCTGTCAAAGGGCGTCAAAATGTTAAGAAGGAACGGCAGAAAAGGAGCTTTACAGTAATATTTTTTCAAAAGTCAGCTCTAGAAAGGTTCCTTAAAGACCCATATTCACCATGAGTGACAAGAATAGTGATTCATAAGCTGTAAAGCCTTGAGAAGCCAGGATCGCACAAGACAACTTTTCCATGTGTCAGATGACTCCCATTTATCACCATGTCAGCTTTCTTATGTGGATTCCAATAATAAAGAAAATATTTCCTTAGGGGAGAAAAGTTATCAAGTCACTGAAGGTTTTTCCAGTGACCAATCACGTGTCATGAAAGCCAAGGTCTCACACCAGCTGAGCCCAGAGTATGGCAGACATATAAGGGAATGTCTCTGCTCTGACTAATATCTGAAAACAGTTACTCACCTCTAGTGTGGTCAATACAATCTTCTCAACTGAAGAAAAATAAGCCTCCCACAAGAACTGTGTCTGCTGTCTAAGTGCTAGGATTTTATCCTGATGGATAGACCTGATTGTAGAAGGAATCTGTAATACAAGGTGTAATACAATCAGATGCTGAGGAAAACAATGTAACCTGATCAAATTTATACACTGTTGGGAATCCGGGACTAGCCTTCTCCATTGTTACCAGGCCACGCACATCAGTGCCTGCCTTTCCAGTGCACATGTCTGTATGTACAGTTAAAGAACAGGAAGAGGAAAATGAATCAGTGGCACTCTTTGTGATCTCCAGTATTGAAGTTACTGGCCAATCGCAGGATTCACTAGCAATTTTGCATGTATTTTTAAAAATGTCTTGGTTCTTTCTATGGGAGCTCTCTTCCCTACACCCCGCTCCACCTCCCCTAACCCTCTTCTGTCTGCTCCTGAAGCTGTGGCAAGTCACAGGAAGAAACTCCTCCATAAATCCCTCATGCACAAAGCTTTTCACGGACCAGTAATGTAACAAACAGTAGCTTCAGGATTTTAGTGTCCAACAATAATCTCCACTCTGAAAGTATATTAAAGAGGTCTGGAATTGCATTTACCATAGTGCCCAAGCCTGTGAGGAATATAAGTGCCCTGAGGAAAGCAGTGCAACATCTGCAACAAGACTCTGGGTTTTGGAAGACCAGGAATAACACTTTGCTAATTACTGTGGGCAGAAAGAAAAAAAAATGTTCTCCAAGCACCTGCTGTTCACAAGGGGTGGGGGAGGAGATAAAAAAGCATTTTCACTGGCTACACAGCGCAGCTTTACAAATGTTCTGGCACAGTTTTACAAATGAAAAATTAAATCCTACTTTGTGACAGAAAAGCTTTATTGCAAGCTGAGTCAAAGGGGAGACCCACTTTCCTCAAATGCTTGGGAGACAGTCTAATGACTCTATGTGCCATTATTTACCTTGTTAAAGAGCCTGATTCTCAGAGGCTTGGCCAGTGTTAAAGGACATTATAAAGTGTAACAGAAATTTTACTGTGATTTAAGGTCTATGTAGACTGTCAGAGGTAGAGGCCTGAGTCCAAATAATAAACTGGTACCTTTAGTGGTTTGTCTTGTGTTTTTCTCCTTGTGGCAATGGGGAGCTGTTTTGCTTTGCTGATTTCTAGTTATTTCATAGAAGCGTAGATTATTAGGGTTGGGAGGGACCTCAGTTTATCCAACCCCCTGCTCAAGGCAGGACCATCCCCAACTAGATCATCCCAGCCAAGGCTGTCTAGCTGGGTCTTAAAAACCACCAAGGATAGAAAGTCCACAAGCTTTCTGGGTCATTT